AACTCTTGCATAACGCCTGTAACCACAGCAACAAATAATGATAACAAATAAACACGTATTGCATTTCAATCACATATACTACTGTTCAAAAGTATGGGGTGAAAAACCCGAATACTGTTAAATATTTTGTGAAATGTATATATAATTTATATCTTAATGACCCTAAACTTTTAAGCATAGTGTACTTCATGTCAATAATGTGACAATTGGTTCAAATGGTTCTATTCATATAACATATCAATATGCTCTCTTATTTCGCTAGTGATTCATGAGTATTTATGACTGTCCATATTTAAGACTGGTTACAGAATGTCACTTTTTTTTAAATGAACTGTGATTAATGAATCATATTTAACACTCCAAACAGGACTGACAACCATATTATTCTGCTGTGTGAACATAGCCATTGTTCCCCTATTGCCATGAGTCATCTCAGTTTGACTGTGTTATGGGAATGTGTAGGATACCAATGACAAAAGAATACGTCTCTAAGACATCGCGATTACATCTGGTATAAAGATCAGGCAGTCTCAGGTGATCCAATCACAAGCAGACAGCACTAAAGACGTGTAAACAGGGAAAGATCCAAAACACTTTGTGATCCGATCACTCCAAGCACATTACAAGGTGGTTGCAAACATGTGACCAACATTGCATACAGTATGTGAACAACATGAATCCATCTTAATGTATCATAAACTCAAAGGACCGCCTATTTACCTGTCAGTCAGCCACAGAACTAAAATACAATTTTACAATGTTGCCAGTTATGTACGACTTCAAAGTGAAACAAAAGTGCATTTTTATAAACAGTGTTTTGGCTCAACCAAGACAGATCTTAATACCAGGTGTAAACGGTCAATTCAGTTCTCAGAATCACTATTTTCAGATTCATGATGTCATGCCATAAGCGTCATCATGAATTTTAGCTTTGTGCCCTTAAGAAGTCAATAAGAAGTCATTATCAGCCTGGGCCAACTTCTCTGAAGCATACGGTTCTTACTAGTAATGCACCAAAATGTTTTGTTTTACCGAAACAGTTTCAGTTTAGCTGAAAACTGAAAATAATGTTTATTTAATAATCAATTAATCAGGTTTAATAAATTAACTTTTTTCATATAAAAACTGAGTTACATATATACATTTAAATTGCATATTCGGCAGATTTT